GTCTTGGGGCAAGTAAGACCATGCAGCCAAAAAAAAAAAAATTGTTATTTGATTCTCAGTGCAGGATTGTTCCCTCTGTGAAATTTGAGTTGCCCTTAATCTGTACATCTAGATAGTAGCAGATCTAGCTCTTCTGATTCCAATAACCTCCCCCAAATACCCCCCTTTTCTGAGCATTAGTATGAAAATATGATCCAGGAAGTCCTTCCCTCATACCTAATGAAAAACCCCACAGATAAGCTCAGGCCCAAGTGCCTTCTCAACACCAGGGTACCAAGTTTGTGTCTTGACCTGTTGGTTCTTGGCCTTGGAGTTAGAGAATCAAACTTTTTCCTTTGGGGTGCAGAGTGGAGGGATAAAGAAAAAAAGAAAAACATTGTTACTGGGAACTCAGCAATATGTGATCATACCTGCAACAATGTAGGAGATGGGAACTCAGCAATATGTGATTACACCTGCATCAATGTAGGAGATGCTAGAGAGTGACCCTCCAGATTTGTCCTGACAAAATCAGGAAAAGTCAAGGCACTGTTCTATCCAACTCTGTGATATCAGCAAATAAATTACATATGAAATTTCTTTTCAACTTGCTGAGCAGGTCCACGGTCAGTTCAAAGACCCCCGAGTGCCCACAGTGATCTGCCCACAGTGGTCTGTAACTACTGAAGCATAAAGATGACATTTATAACAACAGGATTAGGTTGAGTTCAGTATGAGTTCCTGCCAAGTGTATGCCTGGAAACTGTGTCATAAAATGGATCACTATTACATAGACTGGTTTTCCTTAGGGGCAAGTGGAAGTGACATGACTGGGCATCAAATCAATCCAGATTTACCCAGCAGTATGTCGTCAATATCAAAAATAAAATAATGGCAACCTTTTGAAGTAGTAAAATTCTGTTTCATATCCTGCCAAATGGATGTAATGATGCTGTGTCTGCTGGTTAAACAAATGGTCCTAAAGTCCATATTAACTCAGGAGTGAGAGATGTTATGTCTACATTCACAATAGAAATGAATGTCACATGCACAGTGGGGAATGCTTGGCTGGAAAGTAGTTTATGTCAAAAAAAAAAAAAAAAAAGGGCTTGGGTTGATAAGTGGGCCATTCTGGTCAGCCACCAGGTTCCAGGAGGCCCCGCTGAGTTAGCTGTTCCATGGTCAAGTCTGGCATGATTAGAAATGCTCATGTGTTGGGAAGCAGCAGTTCCACTTCCTGGCAGTATATACCCTGAATGCGGGGACTGCCCTGGTGTGGGTGAGGATGCGCCAGGACAGTGCATAGCAATGTCCCTGAACTCAGTAATGAATACATGCCTGGAGGAGTGTTCATACAGTGAATTAATTAAAGTAAGTGAAATATCTGTACTTAAATGAATCTTAAAGATGTCAAATTAAAAAAGCAAGTTGCAAAAGAATACGGAAGTTATAAAACCATTTGTGTACCTTTTTTTAATTTGCAAAGCAAATACAGTGAAAGCATAAAACATGGATGGGATAAGTTTATATCAACCTCAGGGTTGAGGGATGGAAATTTTAAGATGAAGAGCTCCTATTATATTGGAAACATTTTCTTTCATTTTTTTAATTAAAAAATATGTAAGGTAAATACAGTAAAAAGTTAGCATCTGTTAAATCTGAGTAATGGGTTCATGGGTATGTGTTGTATTATGTTCTGTACTTTTACTGTATGGTTGAAATGTTTCATAACTTTAAAAGAAAGTATTTTAAGCACATAAACATGGCTGACTAAATTTTAAATAGCTTTAGTTTCCCTCAAATTTATTTTTATGTATATTATGAAAGTAATACAGTATAAGAGAGAAATTTCAGATAATTAGAAAAAAAATAAATTACTCAGAATCTCATCACCCAAAAACAGTCATTGTTAATGTGTTGGTATATTTCCTTCCATTTTGTTTCTTTGTGTGGGTGTGTGTGTATTTAAACACACTTCTAAAGCATCTTGGGTACACATATTGAATGCTGCCTTTTTCACTCATTATAGCATCACCCCTGTTCCCCGTTGAGACTTAGCCTCACTGAACATCATTTCTACCGATTTCTAAAGATCTTTCACAGCTTCCTTTTCTTGCATAAACACAGTTCTGAACATTCAGCAGTCACACAGTCACATTTCCTTTTGATTATCGTAAACATCATCCTTCTGAAAGCCTCCGGAACAGGATTGGGTCACGCTCTGCTGTTGATTTCTATAAGGCTGTTTTGTGTGGGATGACAGTAAAAAGGTCTGTCACATCTGTGATACCACATTCCCGTGAAGACTGAGCTTGTCGGCATTCATCCTGTGGGTGGAAGCTGTGCATATTTTAGAAGTCAGCTCTGTGTGTATCTTGCCTGGGAGGAAACGAGTGCTCATGCATCCAGCATCTGCTCTGGGCTCCAAACCTGCAGCTGTAGGAATGTTTACTCCTGTTAAACTTGCTTTGAGGCCTGGGGTAACAGCAGTAATGACTGTTACAGCTATTTATGTGCCCTTTGCAGCTGATAGATGCTCTCACATCCATTGCCCCCTGACCTTCTCTGAGCAGAGGTAAGGTTCAGAGCACAGCAGACACACGGGATTACAACCAGTAAATGTGATAGTTAGGACCACTGTTGGATGCTTCTGACTCCTTCCAGAACACTTTTCAGTTACTATCCTTGGACCCAGGCAAGAGGAATTTCTGCCGTGAGCTCTGGACTCCAGGTGACCTCCAGGCCCAGAGCCCGCTGTCCCAAAATCCTGGACCCTCTGGGGCCCTGGAATCCACTGACAATGGGTCTCAGCCCTGCCAGGGCTTATATTAGCCTGTATCTGTCTGCTTGGGGGCCAGACCCCCACTGTGTCCAAGTCCCAGGACAGCATCTTGCAGGGGTGAGCAGAGCTTAGATCTGCAGCTGCAGGATGGATCCAGGGTTGGGGATGTGGGCTGGAGGCAGACACAGAGGCTGGAGGCCAACATCTCCTGCAGTGTATCTCAGAACTGCAAGGACTCTGAGAATTGCGAACTCAAGCCTGGCCTTCTCAGTCATTATGAAGTTGTATCTGTCAGAGTAGGTGCCTAGAATATATTATATGTAACAGTTTGTTAGCTTGATCTGAGCCAATCTAAAGATTCAGCAGGTAGATCTTTTCTACTCTCAGAAACCCACAGATATTAAGATCTGTCTTGGCTCTCTTATTCCACTGTGCTGTTTCCAGGTTCCCTTCTTTTTGACGCAAGGCCACAGATGGACGAGGGAGTGCAAAGGAAAACAATCTAGAACCCCAGAAGAAGTAAAACAATTTAGTGTGTAAAATCCCAATATACCAGACACCCCCGTGTCCACACATAAAAGCAAGAAATGCATTTCAGGACAAAATAGATTACAACCACCTGCTACAAGGGTGAATCAGCCTGGCACCATCTAGCCAAATCCGAAATAGAAGCCAGCTAGTAAAGCTACAATCTGGTCCTCTTCCCCTTCCTCTATCTCTCTGCCTCCCACATCACGGTTCCTATGTGTGAACCAAAGAACTAGCACCCTCTGTTGGTTACTTCAAGCTATGAAAGAAGTCAGGCCCCTGCGTCTTCCAGGACAACAGGGGGACAAGTCCCACCCACCCAGCCAGGGTCAGCATGGAAAATCAGTGTTGCAAGAGCTTTCATTTTTAATTGTTTGTTGGCCACTGAACTAATATTTTTCAGTTCCTTATTACCCAGCAATATTTCTGATTTGTGATGAAGGATTTAACTGAAGAGAGAAGCATGAAATCGTCAAGACAGTCTCATTGGGCTGATTCCCTCCCATACAGAAAACAGGGACAAACAACTAAATTCTGAATACTTACACACACATACTAGGACAAAACGTTACAAAGTGATGCTTCTCTTGACTTTCACAGCCATCCAACAAGGAAGCTATTCCTATGGGACAGGTAAAAACTCTGCATCAAAATATTTTCAAAATGATAGGGATAGTGTTAGTCGCTCAGTCATGTCCAACTCTTTGCAACCCCATGGACTGTAACCCTCCAGACTCCTCTGTCCGTGGGATTCTCAAGGCAAGAATACTGGAGTGGATTACCATTCCCTTCTCCAGGGGATCTTCCTGACTCAGAGATCACACCTGGGTAATTTTTCACCGATAAATCATACAGGGACCTAAAATGCTATCTCAAACAAATAAATGGAGATAAAGTTAATGTTCTTGGAAAAACTGAAAACAAAGATAACGATTTGAAATGTGTATAAAAACTTTGACCAGAATTGCTTAATGAAATGTGAGAGAATAAAACAAAACAATATATTCAAATTAATATTTTATTCATTATGGTTTACATATATATCTGTAACTAAAATAATATTATTATAAGTTCATTATGGTTTACATGTATATCTGTAACTAGATAATATTACAAATAATATTATACAATTACCTCATCTATATATTCAGGGCTTCCTTTGTGGCTCACCTGGTAAAGAATCCACCCACAATGCAGGAGACCTGGGTTCGATCCCTGGGTTGGGAAGATCCCCTGGAGAAGGGAAAGACTACCCACTCCAATATTCTGGCCTGGAGAATTCCATGGACAGTATAGTCCATGGGGCCGCAAAGAGTCAGACACAACTGAGCAACGTTCACTTGACTTCACTCATATATTCAAGTTGGTCAGAAATCATCTGGGGGGAATTGTCTCATTGGCAAATAGAGGCTGAGGATACACACTAAGTGGTTTTTCCAAAGCACCGAGCCACAACCTAAGATGAGGAAGAAGCAGGTTTGTGTGTTGGATCCACAGTAATGATGTAGGTTATACACTGGCTCCTGTGTGCAACCCAGGAACTCCAGCTCCTCGCAGTTTCCCGAACACTGCTGCACTTGGGCCTCCCTGCCTCCTGTGTGGGAGAGTCAGTGGTTGTCCTGAATGTCCACCTGAGGACCCAGTGTCTCCCCATGCAGCGACTCAGATGTGGGTAGAGATGTAACCAGATGGCTTTTCCCGTCTCCCTCAGGCAGCACTCGTTGGAGGCACCACCATGATCATTGGCCATGTCCTGCCTGACAAGGAGACCTCCCTTGTGGAAGCCTACGAGAAGTGCCGGGGTCTGGCCGACCCCAAGGTTTGCTGTGACTATGCCCTGCACGTGGGGATCACCTGGTGGGCTCCCAAGGTAACAGTGCTGGGTGGAACCCTGAAAGGAGAACCAGTGCTCTTGTTGGAGGGGCCATTTGGTGGGAGCCAGCTGTGGGTGACACTCTCCTACAGTGAGGAATGCCCCTCCCGCCAGCATCCTATCTCCCCCAAATGCTAAAACAAAAAACACTTAAGATTCTCTGTGGCGGGGGCTGTCTCACTTAATATAAAAAGCCAGTTTTCCAGCACATACACAGGGAGCACCAGCTCCTTGCTCTGACCACCAGGCTGTCAGCGTGTCCTGACGCTTTACATTAGGTACCACTGACACCAAAGGGGTCGCTGCTGAGTAGCGGGGTCAGCCTCCAGGGTCGAATCATTTTGTGCTAGAAGTAACAGCACTGAGGTCTCAGAACAGAGGGTCCTGTCCTGGCTCAGTGCCGCCTGTTAAGAATGGATCTTACCATCTTACCCAGAAAGAATGGGTGCTTCTTTCCTGCTGGGCCCCAGCTCCTGCTCTAAGCACCCTGAGGCCACCTCCCACTGGGTCCTGTGTCAGTTCAGCCTCTGTGCCCCTGGCTATCCTGACCTCCGGTTGCCCAGGCCCCAGGGCCAGAGTCCAAGCCCCACTCCTTGGCTTCCCACTTCCTTGTTCTTCCTGAAAACAGATTCACAGGCATTTAGATTTTGCTTCACTTCTGGAGTTTTTACTGCTTGTTGCCCCCGGGGACACAGACCGAATATTCTTTCTTTCATCAAGTGTTCATTAATCACCATGTGCCAGTACTTGAGTGGGTGCCCTGGGATCTTAAAAGTAAACAAGTATTAAGAGATTTTACAAAGTTCTCCAGCTGGGGACTCTGACCTAAAGAGCCTAATTCCCTTCTGAGCTGGTAACTAAAAGCCTGACTGCACTTCTGCCCTTGAGTATAAGCCTTGATCGTGAGATTCAGCCAGTCTCGCCCATTACTTCCAAAAGGATGCTCATGAAAGGCTGCAGAGCCACCCACCTCCCACGGGAAGACTCCCCTCCTGGTACCGGGCAGAAGATGCCATCTATACTGAATGTCAGCCATCCCTTACCTTAGATGGAGCTTTTGTCCAATTCGGATACCCTCCTGGGTGGGTGACCCCTCCTACCCTGAGCCTCTCTCCCTTCCCTCCCCCAGCAAGGGACTGGAATCAAGGATCCACTCAGATCCTCAACATTGAGGCCAAGCCAGTCATCCCTAAGTCCCCAAAGATTGTGGGGATTTTCATGTATCTAGAATTTTAAATTTTTTTCTATGGTAATCAAAATTTTTTTCTAATTACAGATTTTTAAAATAGGAAAGAAAGGAAGTTCATAATCCAGTCACCCCCCAGTATAATGACTATTGCTATTCTAGCTCATTTCTTTCTGGTCTTTTTTCATACCTGCTTTTTACATAGTAACTCTTTTGCTCTAAGTATGAGCATTTTCCATTTGGCTGCATGGTCTTCATGACCATCAATGCCATGGCCACCTAGTGTTCTGTCAAGTAGATGAATCACAATTTATTTACCTATTGTCAGACCAGTGTTTCTTCTATTTTTTCCCCTAGTATAAACAGTATTGGGATCAATCTCCTTATTCACATAGCTTTATTTCATGTTTGGCTTTGTCCCTAAATTATATTTTTCCCTAGGTCTCTGGGTTTTTAGTATTAGTATGCCTTCTCTGTAACACCCCTTCCATTATGGCGATAGAGGGAACTGACCAAGGTATGAAAGTCATTAGTGCATTTACCAACAAGGCTGATTTGGAGACAGAAACATAGACAAGCTCATGTGATATGAGAAACATGCCCAGATAGCGTTTCTATATTTGTAGCATGCTGGACAATTTTCAAAGCACTTCCGCATCCATTTGCTCACGTGACCTCACAGCAGCCTGTGGAGTGGGAGGAGAGTGACATACTATGAGGTTACGGGTGGTCATGCGGCAACTCCATCCACTGAGCTACCTCTGCTCCACGCTGGGCCAGCATCCGCCAGCCAGCCTCTTGATAATCTGTACTCACGCGACATTGCCTTTGCGTTTTGCTCTCCAGGTGAAAGTGGAAATGGAGACCCTGGTGAGGGAGAAGGGAGTCAACTCGTTTCAGATGTTCATGACCTACAAGGACTTGTATATGCTTCGGGACAGCGAACTGTACCAAGTGTTTCACGCTTGCAAGGATATTGGAGCCATCGCCCGAGTCCATGCTGAAAATGGGGAGCTCGTGGCTGAGGCAAGGCAGTAGAGAATATTGGGCAAGAGGGGGCGGGGCACCAATTCTCAGGGGAATTCCTGACCACCCGTGACCCATCCTACAGGGTTCAGAGAAAACAAATTCTATAAGAAATTCTAAAAGAAAGTGTGAGATGTTAACACCCCAGATGACAGATCTTTACCCCAAAATCCAAACTTTTCTGGCGTCTATAAAAAAACAAATCTTCCTTTGTAGTTCAAAAAGGTTTCTAAGTCTTGAATGATAATGTCTTCATTCTAATATGATATTTAAATTCGGTTACCACAAAGGAATGTGGAGCATCTCTAAGAAATATTTTTAATGAGATGTGACATACAGAATAAGTAAGAGTCAGCCTTCCACTTTCCTGGACCTCCTCAGAGGAGCAGAGGTATTAGAGAGATCTTCTTGGGACCAAGACAGACAAACCCCGTTTTACTCCTGGATCTTAAGTAGGACACTTGGGGTGAAAGCTAATCTAGGCATTTCTAGAAGCTGGAGATTTAACTAGATTTCCAGTGAGGAAATTCTGATTTTTCAGATCAATAAAGAGTGCTTGTCTTTAGTGTCCCAGGCCTGCTGGCTGATGACTGAGCTGTATTTCTAAGAGGAAAAAAATATTTTCAATCATTATGAAGTGAGTCTCAGGGGAGCCCTGTATTAATCCTGCCCTTTTTAGAAGATGAGTATTACAGAAGTGAGAAAAGCAGCAAGCCTATTGACATGGGCTGAGCTGAGCATATTTTATAGTCCCTTGGATTATGTTTTTTGTATCTCTCTGATTCTCTCTCAATTTTCTTTCTTTTGCTATTATTCAGGGAGCAAAGGAAGCACTAGATTTGGGTATCACAGGCCCAGAAGGCATTGAGATCAGCCGTCCAGAAGAGGTGAGAAAGGTGTCTGCGTTCTTTGTCAACGTCCTTCCTATAGATTCATAGAATCTTTAGGATGCACGAGACATCAGTGAATACAGGTTGTATGGTATTGCTTTCTCCATGGGTGAAATTCCCATCTGGAAGCTTCCCAAGGAGCAGCCTTCTCCATGCTACAGCTGGGACTTCACTGGGGGCTCAGATGGTAAATAATCTGCCTGCAATGTGGGAGACTTGGGTTTGATCCCTGGGTCAGGAAGATCCCCTGGAGAAGGCAATGGCAATTCACTCCAGTATTCTTGCCTGGAGAATTCCATGGACAGAGGAGCCTGGTGGGCTACAGTCCATGGGGTCACCAAGAGTCGGACAGGAGTGTGCAACTAATACTACTACTACGCTGCTGCTATGCTACCGCTGACCAGGCCTTGAACTTCCCTGGGGAAGACCACTTTGGGGAAACAGACCCGCCTGGGTTGGGTTCTGATGTCAAGGGTCTGAGAGACGCCATGTGAGCATGCTAGGGGTTGCAGTGGCCAAAATTAAATTGGGAGAGAAAAGACAGACTGAAGGAGCTTTCAGATGCTAGAAGAAACTCCAGGCTATAAGCCAGTGAATCAGCATTTGGGGGCTGAGATCCCTTTGAGTGTCTGAGGAAAACTCTGGACTGTTCCCACTAGAAACAAAAGGCACATGTGTGTGCTCTCCCTCTTTTCCTATTTGTCGCTGAGAATGGTAACTGAGGCCTGCCTTTCCTCTGCCCGCTTATTTTACCCTTGCATGGTTTTGCAGGATGTTGACACAAATGCCCTCCAGTTCCCATTTTCTGAAGAATTTGACTCTGGAGGATCACATTAGATAAATAATGCATTCTTGCCCTATGGCCCTGTTCAGATATCCCCCAGCACTGGTGAGGGGAAAGCTATTTTCTGTTTCTTCAAAGCCTTAAATGCAGAATGGTGGTTGGATGCCCATGAAGGATTAATGGGGAAGCCTTGAGGGATGAAGAGCTGGAGACAGGATGTGATGGTTCTACCATCTGACAGGAACTAAGTCAGCTTATGCTGGGTCAGCCCACCTTACTCCGGCCCTGGGTCTGTCCCTGTCTGTCCGAACCCTTGAATGTAGCTCCCACCTGGGCACCTCAGAGTTGGTAGAGAAAGACACACCAACTTCAATAAAGGCAATGCATTGAGAGTGCCTGTGAGAACAGGGGTGGGTGGGTGATGGGCACAGGACTGCCCTTTGTGGAGTTCTGCCAGGAGAGGAGTAAGGCACTGACTGTAGTGGTAACAAAAGCAAGAATTACCACCATCTTCATCTACTGATTAAAGGGGAGCATCTGGGGAGATTTTGCTCCCCAGGGACATTCGGTGATGTCTAGAGATAATTTGTTGTTCAGTCACTCAGTCATGTCCAACTCTTTGTGACCCCATGGACTGCAGCATGCCACACTTTCCTGTCCTACACCATCTCCCAGAGCTTGCTCAAACTCATGTCCATTGAGTCAGTGATGCCATCCAACCATCTTGACCTCTGTCATTCCCTTCTCCTCCTGCCTTCACTCTTTCCCAGCATCAGGGTCTTTTCCAGTGAGTCGGCTCTTTGCATCAGATGGCTAAAGTATTGGAGCTTCAGATATTTTGAGTTATCCCAACTCAGGGGGAGGATGTTACTGGCATCTAGTAGGTAGAGGTAGGGGCTGCTGCTAAAGAGCCCACAATGTCCATTCAGCCTCCACCACAAAGAATTATCTCACCCAAAATGTCAATAGTGTCAAGGTTTAGAAATCCTGACCTAGGCTAATTTCCAGCTTAAAATCAATCAGTGTTGCTCCTTTGCTACAGTTCTGAGATGGCTGTGGAGAGAAGGCACCAGAAACCAATGGAGATGTTTTTGTTTGCCCTTGTTTTGTTGCCTTTGAATTAAGCCCTGAGTAGCATCCAGCAAAGACATGCCTGGAACACTAAGGCCTGGGATGCTCTCGGTTTGAACGGAGGTGTCTGGAGCTTGATGCCCCTGCTCAGGGTTTCCTCCCAGGCCAGTGCCTGTGGGTTCAGTTAGCCCCTCCAGCTCTGAGTCAGACATTCCAGCACTTTCTACAAGGTGGGGTATCAGGCAGAGGTAAGCTTGCTTGAGGAGATGATGAAGTTTGTTTTCTTCCTTTCCTCTGTTCCTAACAGCTGGAAGCAGAAGCTACTCACCGAGTTATCACCATTGCAAACAGAGTAAGTAGACCCCAGCTCACTCTCAGCCCATTCTCAACTCTGGGGTCAGAAACCAACCTGGACAGTGGAGTCCCAGTCTGCTCTGGGTGCTACCACCAGGTCTGACTCACAAGACCCCAAATGGACATCGTTTGCTAGATGAATGTTGTTATTCCCACAGCCATGACAGGAGCGCTCCTTGCCACTGGCTCTCTCTTCCACCCCACTGAGTTTACTGACATCTGGTTCATTGCTCAAGTGGAAACGACTCCCAAGGCAGGTGGGGCAAGGTGGGGACCACAGAGCCTCATGGCAACTGGAACCTCTTGCTTCTAGAGGAACAAAGTTATTTACTTAGAGATTCATGATTCAGGCCTCTAGCTCTCAGCCATTCATGACTTTTTTCTTGGTACAGTTCAGGGTAAGGGGTCACTGATGCAGTGTGGTGGTGGGAACCAGCAAGAGACGTGGGGCCTTGACCAAAGACAAGTTTCCGGTCACATGCCAGTCAATCAACCATTCCAATAGACTATTTCATTGGAGTGATGTTATCACCCACTCCTTACAGGAGGGTTGTGAGGATCAAAGGAATCATGGAAGGAAAAGCACTTTATACCCAGTAGAACACTGTATCAAGGTCATTTCCTCTCCTGAAGTGTTGTTAGAGGGTTCCCTTTGCTCGGATAATCTGAATTACCTTCTCTAAAACACTAGTATTCTAAGTGCGGTCTCTGGACTAGCTGCATCCACATTGTTTTTTAGAAATAGGAGCTCAGAAACACAAATGTTCAGGCTTGTCCAGACCTGCTGAATCAGAAACTGGGGGTGATGCCCAGCAATCCATGTTTTAACAAGCCCACTAATGATTTTAATGGGCACTCACACTTGAGAACTTCTCCCCTGGAAAGGCCTGAGCTACCTCAAAGGCTGTGAGCAGAGGGTGAAGGGTGTGGTGTTAGGGACACCAGGGGAACACAAAAGTCAGAGGTCCAGTCGGTCTCAGAATTAGTTGGGAAACTTGTACCAAGCACCTCAAATGTCAGGCCAGTTCCTAAATTCTCTATCCTCCTAATTTGATAAGAAGGCACTAGAATAACATTTGGGGAAAGTTTTCCATTAGCCCTTTTTAAGTCTAGAAGCTGCACAAGGACATCATTTTACTGTTGTAACAATAATTATGCTAGCAATTACTTCCTGGTGGAAACTTACCCCAGAATAAGGAAAGATCTGAACAACAAAAGGGCAATTCCTCATTTTTTAGCTCGAACGTATTCCCAGAGAAGTGAGACAGTGGACCATGGTTGCACAGTTGAGTAGAGGAAAAGCTAATCAGTGTTATAATCCAGGTGTCCATTTGTAAGACTGGTCCTGTCTGATGTAGACTGAATCCTGAACCTCTTGTGTAACATTCTTCTCCAGGGTAGGGTACATTCTGTCTGCTGATAAAGCAGCCTTCAGATGTCAGGCATCATAATTTTAGATATGGGACATAATACACAACTGTATCTAGGTCTTCTCGTTCATGAACAGGAAATTAGAAGTCCCTCATTTTAAATTGTAAATAGTCTTGGTGTTGGCTGGTAGAAAATGTGAGGTTCAGCACTCGAAATCTTACCCAGATTTTCCCCTTGTGGGCTCTGGTGCCAGGAACCACCTGTCCCCTCCTTGTTTTGTGGCATTTCTCCAGCCTACAGCCGCCTGGCCCGCATTCTGTGCAGAAGACCATCAGCCTAAGAGGGTGCTAAGTGATGCAGGGGGAAGTGCTGGGGCCAGGACTAATCTGATCTGGTCATCTTGATGCCTGTTAAGTTATGGGGTTGATGCTCTCTCCTTCCCACCATGTTTCCTGTGTTTAGACTCACTGTCCCATCTATCTGGTCAACGTGTCCAGCATCTCAGCCGGTGATGTTATTGCAGCTGCTAAGATGCAAGGTGAGTCAGTAGGGTGGGCTGGGCTGTTAGCCCTTGTGCGAGGGGTGCCCAGCAGCTCCATGCACTTTCCCTCCCAGCTCCTGAGGCCAGGCCCTGAGCCTGCCCTGCCCTTCTCGTCCCTGCTGTCTTCCTGCACAGGCCTGGGGTCAGTCCTTTAGAATCAGTGTTTTCCTCTTCACATGTATGCATAACAGCTTTACAGAAGTGTCTGTCATCTCAGACTGGGAAAATTTTCCAAGTTTTTTAATTCACTCATTAATTGGGTTTTTTTTTTGGTCCCTTGGGTTTTACTAGTGGTTGCCTTGGTAGCAACATAAAATCCTGGATGAGTTCCAGTGGACATTTCAAGGGGAAATGCCTGGGAAGTCCTTGGGGAAATGACAGTGTTGGAGCTGGACATCCCCTTCAGGAACCCAGTGTACCAGCCCTGGGACACCTGTGTGTCTGAGCACCTGGCCACACTTAAAGGCTTTGTCCATGCTTGGACTCTCGGCCCGGCTCGGGGTGCTGATGAGGGACTGATAACAGGTGTAAAAGATCACAGTCACGAACCTGGGGATATAAATCAGGGCCTTCCAGCCCTCCCGCCACACTGCCTTCCGCATCCCGCCTCCTACCTCTCCTCTAGCTAGATCTCCTCCAGGGTCTCACTGCGCTGTGGACCCAGCCTTCCACCTCTGTCTCCTGGGACCAGGGAGCACTCTGGCCTTGACCCCAGCTGAGGTCTCCAACACCCAGCCGAGCTCAGGCTAGTCCCTTCCTTTCTGACTTCAGCTCCTTTCCCTGCCCAGGGAGAGGCTTAGACCGATGCTTCCCCAGGTTCACTGGCCTCCTGGTGATGGTCGGACTCCCCTCTTCTTCCAGGCAAGGTCGTGCTGGCTGAGACCACCACCGCACACGCCACGCTCACGGGCTTACACTACTACCACCAGGACTGGTCCCACGCGGCCGCCTACGTTACGGTGCCTCCCCTGAGACTGGACACCAACACGTCAACCTACCTCATGAGCCTGCTGGCCAAGTAAGGCACCTCGGCTGGACCGTGATGCAGCCTTGTGTCATAATTCGGGCCACGCTGGGCACTTGTAGACCTTTAAGGTGATATCGTAGAGGCCCCAAATCCGACCTAAGTTTGGTTTCCTTGTGTCCAGAGGATGAGTTTTGCTTTTGTTAACCTTCTCCAAAGCCTCTACCATACCGTGGTGCTCCTATGACCACTTGACTGGGAGTGAGAGCTTCTGAGATGACAAGTAAAGAGTGCATATAAAACTGTGAACAGTGGCTATTCAGAATTTCAAAGAACCTTGCTATCATACACTGAAGACCACTGGGAGCTATAGGATGTAGACTCTGACTTATCTGAGAATATTTGTGGATCTTTCTCCTTTTTTCCTTCACCTCCCCCTCTCATTGTTTCCTACGTGGTTTACTCTCATTGTGTGTCCCTCCCTTCTTCTGTGTTGCTCCCCCCCTTCTTTCTTCTTTTCCTTTTTCTTCCACACCTTCTCCCTCTTTCTCCTTAACCTCTTCCTCCAGACCTTCTTTTCTCCAGTTCCTGTTTTTCCAAAACTGCTTTTCCCATTCAATCTGAATCTAAATAATATGCTTCAATGGATGGTCTGATTTTGGTGGGACACAAACATAGAAAGATTTTGTTTGGTTCCAGTACCGGCTTGCAAATTCTTTCTTGCCTCTAGTAACCCTTAGGTAATGGTAAAAACCATTGCTTTTTCTTCCCTTTTGGTTATTAAAGTCCAGTTCAGTTTAAAAGTGAGTCTCTTCTCCTCCTGACTCTCAGCTTGGGGAATTTGGTGGGGATTAGGATTAAAGGAGTGGGGGACACTGCTCCACACCCAAGCATGGCCTGTACCCCTGTACTAACTGATGCTGCTTCTTCTCTGGAAGAAGCTGATTGGCTTCTGGGGCCCCCCTTGTGCAGGGTATGTGCCCAGATAAGGGCTCTCTTGAACCACTCTCATGCCGTCCTCTGACACAGAAGATGGAATCCAGCTTGACTTCTTCTTTTAAAAAAGAAATTATTTCTTTGGCTTTGCTGGGTCTTAGTTGCAGCACTCGGTATCTTTGATCTTCCTTATGGCATGTGGTATCTTTAGTGGGACCTAGTACCCTGGCCAGGGATCGAACCCAGGGCCCCTGCTATGGAAATGCAATGTTTTAGCCACTGGACCACCAGGGGAGTCCCCATCTTTACCTCCTCTCACCTGCCCCTTCCCAGCTTCCCTGTGAACAAGAACTTAAGCCCCATCACCTTCTGCAGAGTCTGGGCCTAGAGGAGGCTCACGCAGCTTTGCCGCTCCCTCTGATGGGATTACAGGCTGCCCCACCCCCATGACCTGGCTCTCCTCACTCAGAGGCTCAGGCAGGCCCACCCACCTATCTTCCAAGCAGGGGCCTGCTCCTGTCGCCTCTGTTCTTCACAGGTGAACCTCTTCAAATGTCCCCTCTTGACTCAGGTAGACTAGTTGGGGGAGAGGGAAAGTACCATTCAACTCATGAAAAGAAGAAGAAGGGCAAGACCACAGGACTCTCCATTCTACCAAACACCTCAGTTGCCCTCCCTGTCTTCTGCTTTTATAGACATGGGGGCGATGATACACTTCTGCTAGGATGATGTTGGGGGTGTTGAGGGAAGTGACTAGCCTCAGTTGGAGGTGGCTGTCATTTGCTAATGGGGTATTTATGTCATCCATGTCCTTAGTTTCCAGTCCTGGTTGGTTGACTAACAACTGAAAAATTTCCACTCAACATCTTGCTCTGTTAAGAACCTAAAGAGCACTGTGGGGCTTTCCAAATATGACTGGAGTGCAGGTGGTAGGGTTCTGGGGCCACAGTGGCCCCTGGAGGGGTAGGATATGCTCTGGCACAGTGGCAGTAATTATAGTCTGTCCCATAAATTGCTAAGATTCTGAGCAGTGGCAGCTCTGAGAGTTTTAACCAATTTGAGAAAGTAAAGGGAGAAATGCTAGATCAGCTCTTACTTTTAAAAATGCTTGTTTGGGGGAAAAACCAGCCTCCTTTTCACTATTATCAACACAACAAAAACAAACCAGTATCAAGAACCCATAATAGTTTGGGCTCCGTTCCAAGGTCAAAGAATCTTTCGAAATACCTCACAAGCAAATTTATGGGAAGAACAAAAAGGTAATTAATTCCCCAACTCACCCAAATTACAGTGCCCAAACCCATACAAATTTAAATAGGCAGAGGAAGAAAAGTATTATTAATTGAATAATTTCAAGTTTTTATTTCTAGCTTATTTTGTCAAATGTATTTAAATTATTCAACTAAATTCTATTCATTTAAAAAGAATTATAATTTCATGTGAATAATTATGAGAATAGTTTGAATCCCTTTTTTATCAGTGCATATTGTAAACTTGTATAATTTTATAGAATTTGGAGCATATTTTTAACATTTTTAGGAATTCATGATTACTATAATTTTGCTTTAATGACATTTTAGTGATAATTGGTATTATGCAAAGTACTTGATAGAAAACCCACGCACTAATCAGCATATTTCTATAAGAAAATATGAGCTGCTTTATAATGATCTATTTTAGGATATGATCTCTTCAGGTATATCAGGGTAAAAAGTACAATCTGTAGATGTCAGGATTTGTCCTTTATTTAAAATCTGACTTCTTAAAGAGACCAGAAATTCTTTCATTTGAACTTACATATTTTTTAAGTGGGCTTCCCTGGTGGCTCAGACGGTAAAGAGTCCACCTGCAATGTGGGAGACCTGGGTTCGATCCCTGGATTGGAAGATCCCCTGGAGGAGGACATGGCAACCCACTCCAGTATTCTTGCCTGGAGAATCCCCATGGGCAGAGGAGCCTGGCAGGCTTCAGTCCATCGGGTCACAAAGAGTCAGATACGACTCAAAGAGTCAGAGCGACTAAGCACAGGTCAGCATGTTTTTAACAAATGTTAGTTATGTTTTAAACAGTGATGTTTTAAAGAGTAGGGATGGATGTGTCATATCTCCCAGATTCCTGGCAGCACTGGGGGGGTCCCCAAAAGCCCTTCTGGAATGTGCCCCCCTCATTCACTCCTGCCTAGCGAACACTTAGTCGTGTATGGGTCTTTTATGAAAGGCGAGGGCTCAGTTAGACTTGTCAGTTAAACCATGGTGTCCATGGGTCCTCAGCCCCTGACTCTGATGAGCATTTTCGGATCTGAGCCCCACCCAGGGGTCTGGAGAACACCAGAAAGTGAAAACTGAAGATTCTGTTCATCGCTGGCAGGTTCTGTGGGTCTGGGGGAGGTGGGGGTCTCTGGGAACACTAAAACAAACCATCTGCTCAGTGGAGGAGGCCCTCCTGCAGTCTCTCAGGGGGGCCACAGCAGCATCTTTGGCGCCGGAAGCTGCGAGCCCCTGCCACGGAGGAACTAAGTCATGTCACTGTGGATTTTGCCAAGGATAGTAGTCATTTGGGGAAAGCCCTGCCAGGCCCCTAGTGGAGGCAGCCCCATGTGCAGCCTGACCCTGAATGTCTGAGAGCATTAAGAATATGCCTCCTCACCAAGCCAATGCCTTCTGCTCAAAGATTCCACTCTGAGGATGGCATCTTGGTTGGCCCACATGCACACACAAGGCTTGGTAACTCCTACAAGTTAAACTAGACTCCAGGCAGGGCCCCGGGTGTGCCATCCCCTCTCCCACCAGGTCCCCAGGTTCCAGCTAGGCCCCTCCCTGCCCTCAGCGTGTTTCCTCCTGAACCTGTCCTGGTCTGGGCAATGGAGGCGTCCCTCCCCGCTCCCCCTCACCACCTCTGAGGCCTACAGAGATCTCTGAACATGGGCCAGCCATCTGCCTGCCTCCTCAGGCAGAGGGTCTGCCACCATGTGAACTCTCACCGACATAAGTCTCCACCCTGAGTTCTGAGCTGGCCCAAGAGCCCCTCAAGAGCCCGGCCATGCCTCACCCACCACAGCCTCAGCAACCATCTGAGGACCATGGTCATGGATGGCAACGGCGATGACCCACTGCCGTGTCATCGCTGGCTCATCAAGCCAGACTTCTCTTCTATCTTGTCCATCCTCTTCCCACAAAGCTTAACACAGAACTTGAGTATTTCACCAAGCACATGCTTGTTGCCAGCAGGGCCTGGTGGGGGTTGAGCAGGGAGATGAGAGGGACTTGGTATATGTTTCTGGGGAAGTAAAACTTCCTCCACCCTCTCACTTTAAACTCTTAAGTTCAATTTTTCTCTGTTCATTCTCTTAACTCTTAAAGTCAACATCTCAAAGACTACTCTCGATGTCTTCTATGACCCTGGCATTCTGTGCCATATTCCCATTCTGCAGATGTGTAAACTGAGGTTCTCACAGATTAACTCATTAGAGGTCATACAGCTCTGAAGTATCAGAGCGGAGACTGAAACCAGCTTTGCCAGGTTACCAAGCGAAGGCTTTTTCCCATCACTGTCCTCACCCTCTGGGACCCTGGCCTCCCCTCCCCTTACTGGTCATGTCCTTCTCTTTACCCAGTGATACTTTGAACATTGTGGCGTCAGATCACCGGCCTTTCACCACGAAGCAGAAAGCTATGGGCAAGGAGGACTTCACCAAGATCCCACACGGTGTGACCGGGGTTCAGGACCGTATGAGCGTCATCTGGGAGAGAGGCGTGGTACGTTCCCAGGACCCCACCCGGCGCTGGGCCACAGAAGAATTTTCACACTTAGGAGGGCTGGGTCAACCACAGCTCCTGTTTCACTCAAAAACAAAACAGAAAAGGTCTTTTTTATTTTCCTGATCAGAAAAGTAAGAAGTCCTAGCATGACAATTTGGAAAATACAGAAAAGTACTAGGAAAAAAACATAATTCCATACTGAGAAATCATTAATATTTTGGTATATTTCTTCCCAAGCTCTATGCATGCAGCGTACATTATTTTAATTACTAGGTTTATCTTGTTTTTTTCATATGACAGTGTATTTTGACTGTCTTCCTATATCAGTAAAAGTTCTTTAAAAACATCTTTGTTAATAACTAAACAAGATTTCCGTCCATGGAAGCACCATATTCAGTTACGGCTTCCCTAATGTTTGAAACTTTCAACTGCTTCAAATTTCTGCACTTACCAATAACACTGCACAGAATTTCTTTGTTCATGAGTGTATGTCAGCATTTCTAATTATTTCCTGAGGACATATTGCTAGAAATGGATTTCTGGGCCAGGGGATATGAACTTTCTTTAAGGATCTTGGGATCTTTCGTCCAATAGTAAAGACAGAGACTAGGGCTTCATTTGAATACTACCTGTTCTGCCCCTGAAGAATAAGTAGTTTGGTCTTGACCTATCACAGATTAGGTGCAGTTTTAGGGGATGAGCCCGAAGAAATTTGAAATACACAAGGCTAAGCCACCAGCTCAGGGAAGACCCTGAGGCAGCTCAGGAATCCTTTTAAAATTTATTTATTTATTTGGCTTTGCCGAGTCTTGGATGAGGCACTTGGGATCTTTCATTGTGGCTCACAGGTTTCTCTTTAGTTGGGGTGGACAGGCTTATTTGCTTAGCAGCATGTGGGATATTAGTTCCCCAACCAAGGATCAAACTCATGTCCCCTGCATTGGAGGCGATTCTTAACACCTAGACCACCAGGGAATTTCTAGGAATCCCCTTTGAAGAATGTCCGTGGTGCACTCGTGGGTGGGGCTACAAGATGCCTTTCCAGCACAGAATATATGTCCCTTCGTGGATCTAGGAAAGCTTCCAATTTATCCATAGTGAGCACATGAGTAGATCTGATTTTACAAACAGGAGGTAGATTTGCCCCAAGAAAGCCACTATTTGGAAGAAGGGCCCACCCACCACTGTTACTAGCAGGAGAGAGGAGGAAATGAGCACGTGGGAACCAAGCCATGCAGATTGTCTCATTCGAGATGATGTCCATGGCATTGTCCTTCTCAGCACCATTGTTCGGACCAACTAAAAGTCAACGGTGACAGGGGGTGTGAGGCACACACACAGGACCTTGGTTGACCTGACACTTTGGCCATGTTTCAGGTTGGAGGAAAGATGGATGAGAACCGTTTTGTGGCCGTTACCAGTTCCAATGCAGCCAAGATTCTCAACCTGTATCCCCGAAAGGGCCGCATCATCCCTGGAGCTGATGCCGATGTGGTGGTGTGGGACCCTGAAGCCACCAAGTAAAGCCTGCTACTTGTCTCCAGGGCTGGAGGATGGGGTTTTTAAGGACCTTGTGTTATAGAACTCCAAAGCATCATCTTTGCCCTACTTCTAGCATAGAGCAGGATGTCCCTGAGATGTGGTCAATTCAACAAATACTTGAGGGTTTCCCATGGTCCAAGCACTAAGGATGCGATAGTGAACAAGAAGGTCTGAAGACTTGCTACAGGGCAAGCTCCATGTGCATAGCACTTTACAGTTTCTCACAGCAGCATCACATCAATGATCTTATTTGCTAATCTCACAGCCCTGAGAAGCACTCAAGGCTGGAGTTCTTACTTTCATTTTACTATGGAAAAAACTTGGAGAAGGAAATGGCAACCCACTCTAGTATTCTTGCCTGGAGAATTCCATGAACAGAGGAGCCTGGCAGGCTACAATCCATGGGATCACAAAGAGTCAGACACAACTGAGCGAGCATCTCACTGAAGAAACCAAGAGCAGAGAGTAGAGGGACTCCCCATATCACATAGCTAATAAGAGGCGAACCAGACAGATGTCCTGACACTCCAGACTCTTCCACCAACCCTCTGCTTTCCTCATTGAGGGTGTGTGTGCATCTCTCAAGCACACAGCACTTGACACCCACAGCATTTATGAACACAACTTGAGTGAACAAATGAAATGCACCAGGAATTATCAAGCTGCAGGATACAGGGCATCATCTTTACTCAGAGATTTGACCAGTTTTTTAATACTAAACTTCATTCAGTCACTCAACAAATATCTGTTAAGTGCTACCATTTGTCAAGCACTTTTCTAGATGCACAAGCTAACAGTGAACAAGACAAAAATGTGCTGGGATTTTGAAGGTAAAAAGTTGAATGGCAGAAAAAGTTCTCCCTGTGTACCACTGCCCAGCCCCTTGCCCAGATCCCTGCCCTACTCCATTAGCGCACTTCAGAAGTCAGATTCTGCATCCAGCCTGGGGCTGGTCCCTGTTGCTCTTGTGGGTCTGGCTGTTAGTGATTGCTGTTGGCAGAAAGACCCCTAGAGTGTAGCCCAGTATGTTAGTCAGCTAGGGCGCTCCCATAACAAAATACCACAGACAGGAGGCTTGAACAATAGAAATTCACTTTCTCACAGTCCTGAAGGCAAGATCAAGGTGTCAGCAGAGCTGATTTCATTCTGAGGCCCTTGGTTTGTAGAGGTCATCTCTTCCCTGTGTCTCTACACGGCACTTCCTCTGTGTATGCACTTCTGACGTCTCGATTTCCTCTTATAAAGACACCATTTGATTGGATTAGGGCCACCTGTATGACCTCACTTTAATTAGTTCTTTAAAGGCCTTATCTCTGAATATAATCACCTTCTGAGGTACTGGGGACTGGGACTTCAACAGATAAATTTGTGGTGACGTAATTCATTCTAGCTTTGGGAGTCCTTCCTTTCCACTGAGCATCATCACCTCTTCCCCGAGCACCTTCCCTTCCGTTGAGCTGTGACATCTTTACCTCCTCTCATAGCATTCTCTCCCGCCACTGCCTTCCCACCAGGACCATCTCCGCCAGCACCCAGGTGCAGGGAGGAGACTTCAACCTATACGAGAACATGCGTTGCCACGGCGTCCCGCTGGTCACCATCAGCCGAGGCCGGGTCGTGTACGAGAACGGCGTCTTCATGTGTGCTGAGGGCACCGGCAAGTTCTGTCCCCTGCGATCCTTCCCAGACACTGTCTACAAGAAGCTGGTCCAGAGAGAAAAGGTATGGTGAGGGAGAGGAGAGAATACATGTGGGAAGGGGTTGAAGACCCCTGTTGGTGATTTCTTATATGACTATTGTAAATCTCAAAGATGTTCTCACTCTGTTTTTTCCACCAGAATCCTATTGCCTGAATAGTCACTTTGGGAACAATCAAAATAGTAGAAAAGGAGTGCCTGTAACAGAGTAAAATTTATTGGGAAGGGTCCCCAAGTCCCTTGGGGCTGGGGACACTATGAGGTGCTCACAGCTTCTCCCGACACCCAGGCTTCTTGTGGTCCCTCAGGGCAGGGGGCTCCTGGCTTAGCCAGAGTTAGCATATTGGCACTGGAGATCCTGTTTCCCAAAACTCCCCACAATTGCCCTGTGTCTGCTGTGGAGGGGGTGGGCTTTGCTGAGTCTCCAACATTGAAGGGGTCAGGGCAGGTCTGGGATAGCTCACTGCCATGTGGGGGTAGCCTGAGGTCTTATCTTGAGAATTTCACCCAGTCGTTGGATTCCATTAGCACCCTAGCTATTCAGTGAAGCTTGAGGCTCCTTCCTCATCTCCAGGGATACCGATCGCTGGGGAGAGTTTAACCCAAAACAACTGGCTCTTCCCTCACTGCTCCGGGATTGACTGTCCAGCTTTATCTTTGAGGGCTGCCCTGGCCTTCCTGTTAACTCCAGGTGCTGGAGCAGCCCTGGCCTCATGGTGGAGGACCCAAATCATCAGAAAAGAACAAGTCTGACAAACTGACAGGTGGAAGCATCATGCGGTTTCCCCTCTGGCAGAAAGTACTATCATCATGGTTCAAAATGCTGCTGCCTAGCTATCTCCAGATTCTGTCCAGAAATGGTGGGTGTTCTCAGAAACACCATGACCAATGGCCTAGGAGTCCCAGCCCCAATCCAGGTCTTCTGTCGGGGAGCAGATTTGGACTACCCAAACAAAGCATGACTGTAGTTATCCCAGTATTCAATCTGAAGGCAGACTCAGGATCTCTCAGGTAGGTGAAGGGTCCCATCTCCACTATGCTTCCCAGATAGGGACAGTGGCAGGAGGCTTCAGCCCCACCTCTGGAGGACATGCCAGAAAGAGGTGGAAAAGTGATCCATTCACACACAAGATTATCTGACAGGGTGGCAATGACTTAAAATAAGAAAATGGAAAACGTGTCAGTGATGATGTAGAGAAATCGGAACACTCATTCACTGTAAAATCAATGTAAAATGGTGCAGCCACTTTGGAAAACAGTTTGGTGATTCCCAAAAGGTTATAGAGTTGCCAAAATAACTCAGCAATTCCTTTCTTGGGTATGGACATCCTCAAGAGAAATGAAAATATATATCTGCAAAAAATCTTATCCATGAATGTTGATAGCAGAATTTTTTTCATAATAGCCAAAAACTGGGAACAACTCAAATGCCCATCAACTATTGAATAAACAAAATGTGATGTTAATATAGCCATACAATGGAATATTATTCAGCCATGAAATGGAATGGAGTGCTAATATCTGTATACAACATTGCATGAACCTTAAAAACATTATGCTAAGTGAAAGAATCCAGTCACAAAAGACCACATATTATATGGTTCCATTTGTTGGAAATGTCCAGAAGAAGCAAATCCATAGACAGAAAATAGACTAGTGGTTGCTTAGGGCTGGTCAGAGAGAATGGGAGTGACTGCTCATGGGTATCAGGATTTTTGAGGGGTGATGAAGATATTTTGAATTTACACAGTGGTGACAGTGGCACAACCTTGTGAATTACACTAAACACAACTATACTGTATACTTTTAAATAGTGAGTTTTATGGTATGTGAATTATATCTCAATTAAAAAAAAAATCTGTCAACAGTTCTGTGACTTTCCCAAAAAAAGGACAGTTTAGTCAGGAAATAGGGTCAAAAGAGGGCAGAGAAAGTGTTTGAAGCCCTTCACAAAGCCAACCTCACAAAAATGTCAGACAGATACCAGTTTGTGCTGCTCTGAGGGCCAGCCACAGTGAAAGAGCCCAGCTTCTAGGGCTGACATAAATTTAACTCAGAGTCCCTTTATCCAAAGCACTTGTTACAATGACAAAGTAAGGTCCTCAAGAAAAAGCCATCTCTATTTCCTATTCTCCCTTATAGCCCTTATGTAACAGAATGCAGGGCTTCCCCAATGGCCCAGCAGTAAAGAATCCACCAAAATGCAGGAGATGCAAGAGACACAAGTTCGCTCTCTGGGTGGAGAAGATCCCCTGCAGGAGGCAATGACAACTCACTTTGGTATTCTTGCCTGGGACACCTCCATGGGGTCGCAAAGAGTCGGACACAAGTGAGTGACTGAGCAGGCAATAGAATACAGGTGTGCGAAAAACCTCATTTCCCCCAAATTATAAATAAGCAGTCTCCATAGAGCAGGGTCCTCAGGGAGAAAGCAGCCCTGGGGTTGGGACTAGGTCACTCACCCAGGGTTCACCGAGTCCGTATTCCCACCTACACCAGCCAGACCCCAAAGTGCTGCCTGGTAAAGGCTAAAACACTCCAAACCAGCTTTGACATTCTGAGGGCTAAGCTCAACTACAGATCTGTTGGAGAATACAAAGGAATATGTAAGCTGAGGAGCATTCCAGAAATCACCCATATCTATTGTTTCTCTCAACAAGGTTTTCAATAAGCATTGAGCAGCAAGGAGATTGAGGTTCTGTCTCTGATGAGTGCCTGGGGTGTAGATTATGTATGCTGCTCCTTCAGATCTTATGCACACACTCCAACACACTTACTCTCACAATACCACTTTAAAATTATAAAGCCCCATAAATGACCTACGCAATAATAACAACTGCTGGTACTTTTGTGTCACTCACCATATGCCAGAGCTTTACGGGTTCTATTTCATTTGATCTCATAACAGCTCTGTAGTCTTACAAATAAGAAAACAGGCACAGAAAGTTTACTTAACTTGGATAAGGTCACACAGCTTCCAAGTAACAAAGCTGGAAGTGAAACATAGGCAGTCTGGTTGCAGAATATAGGCTCTTAATTCTACTGCCTTTGTGAGTACAAAATTAACTACTATTGCTAGTGGGGAATTCTAATCTTCAAATCAGCTGTATTTATCTCTATTCCTACAAAGTTGTCAGATCGATCCCAGCAAAAGCTCCAGTACTTTGTCCACCTGATGCGAAAAGCCGACTCACTGGAAAAGACCCAGAGGCTGGGAAAGACTGAAGGCAAAAGGAGAAGGGGGAGACAGAGGATGAGATGGTTAGATAGCACCACCAACTCAATGGAAATGAATTTGAGCAAACTCCAGAAGAGAGCAGAGGACAGGAAAGCCTGGCATGCTGCAGTCCATGAGGTCGCCAAGAGTCAGACATGACTTAGTGACTGAACAACAACAACAGCTTGAGAGCCTGGCAAGTGAAGGGATCACTGCTCCATGTGAGGGATGCTCTCTAAAGCTGAGTATCTCCAAAGCCTACCTACTGCCTTGGAAAGCAGTGTCAAGGGGGAGCCAGTGGATATCTCCTTTATGCACATACCTGCACACGCTCACACATATGCCCTGCTTAGGAAGTACAAGAGGATTCTTTACCCTTGGGCTCAAGATGTAGGAAGGCTTTGTCATGTGCAGTAATTTGGGTTCTGAACAGTGGCAGTGTCTAGACTCTCATCAGCCATCAGGGAAGCTCTGGTGGTGGTGGTTTTTGGCCCTGATGGTTGATTGTGTCCGTGCTCTGATGGTATCATCTTTTCCCTTTTTCTCCTTCTCTGCCATCACCAGACCTTAAAGGTGAGGGGAGTGGACCGCACGCCCTACCTGGGGGATGTAGCTGTCATTGTGCATCCTGGGAAAAAAGAGATGGGAACGCCGCTGGCAGACACTCCAACCCGGCCTGTCACCCGACATGGAGGCATGAGGGACCTTCATGAATCTAGCTTCAGCCTTTCTGGTAAGAGCAAGGGCCACTTGGCCTGGCACTTGGGTCTCCACCACAGTGGGGTGTAGGGAGACGGGTGGAGGGGCCAGGTGGGGGGCTTACTCCACCTCCTCCCTCCATCTCCAATCCCCTGCCTGGTGATGAGTGCTGGATCCCCTGTTAGAGACACACAAATACTGGGGATGGGAAAGGAGGGCTCTCCCAGTCCACAGGTACCTGCCACTCCACCTGGCCACGGCTCTTCTGGGGCTTGCCCCACGGTTACTAAGTTCAAATGTTTTCATCCCTTGAAACATCTTGAGGGCCCGGCACTTAGGGTGCCCCTAGAGATGATCAGAGCTCAGAAGGGTTAACTGTGCCACATGGGTCTGCACCCCCGTTTCCCACCCCATCCTCACCAGCCTCTCTGAAAGACATGGTGTTTCCCTTATACCCTTTCCTCCCTCATCTTAGCCTGTTTGCTTCTCTGCCACCTTCTTTCTTGCCAGGAGTTGTCCTGTATAGAATATACCATCAGAAATGTATGGCTGAGTCTACGCTTAGAGACTTTATTGCTGATGGCTACATGCCTCCCAGGTGCTCAGTGGTAGTTAAAGGTGGGGGTCATTGCAGGCATAAGCCACAAGCCTCCCTGGAGGACAGGCAGAAAGGCCCGTAAGATGCCCTGGACCTGCAAGCAGCTTTGCTGGAAAGCGTGCTGCTGCTGCTGCTGCTAAGTCGCTTCAGTCGTGTCCGACTCTGTGCGACCCCAGAGACGGTACCCACCAGGCTCCCCCGTCCCTGGGACTCTCCAGGCAAGAGCACTGGAGTGGGGTGCCATTTCCTTCTCCACTGGAAAGCGTGAGCCCCACGTAAAATGGGTCAGGGCCGGGTCTTGCTGAGTGGCCTCCGGGACTGGCCCGCGTGCAGACCGAGCCTCTGCTCTGCAGGCTCTGTGCGGGGGCCAGAGGGTGAGAGGACCTAGATCCACATGCCTCCGCACAGAGCATGGCGTCTCCTGGGGCCGGGGAGACTCCGCCGCAAACCGGCCTAACCTGAGAGGCAAAGAGCTAAACCTAGGGCTGCCAAGGGGCACGGCTGGCCGCTGAGCTTCTTTTGTGCCCAACGGTGTGCTGAGAGCAGCTCAGGTGGCTCCTGTCTGAGTTGCTGACCGGCCTTTGGCGGGGGCGGGGGCGGGGAGTCCTCTCCCCTCCCCTCCCCCATCATCTCAGAGCCAATCTCACTACAGAGATAGCTTCTCCCTCACCCTGAGGGCCACTGTTAAAACTCCCACCAGTGACGGGAGTGCAGTCAGAAAGAGGTCCGCCGTGTGGAGTGTCCCTGAGCGCCCCCGCCTGGCCAATCCAGGAGGTGTCGCTCCCCACGGCTGCCTGGGCCTGGCCCCTCCAGCAGGGGTCAGCCCCAAGAGGAGCGGCCAGGCCCCAGAGGCGCCAGTCCCCTCGAGCCCCTGGCTTCTGCTCCCACCCAAGTCCGGGTAGAGCCAAGACTGGACAGAATCGCTCTCAGGTGCAGCAGACACCAGGCAGCCTCTCACCTTCCCTCGCCTCAAACCCTGTCTGCGGTGAGACAGGCGGAAGAATGTTCCAAGGCACTCCCTGGGGCACCAGGACTTCTTTTCTAAGCCTCGAGATTTCAAGACGTGGGGGCCTTTGGGGGAGCTGTTCTATGTTTTTCCAAAACAACGGCGCCCCCTCCTCCCTCTCTTGTTCACTGAGTCATATGTACAAAGGCCCACTTGATAACAGGCGGCTCCACGGTCTGTGTGCTTGACAAGAGACGATACCTCCAGGGCTGGGAGTGGTGAAGGCAGGTGTAGCAAGGCAGTGAGTTAACTGTGGAGGCTCTCAATCAGAAAGACCTGGGTTCAAGTCCAGGCTCTAAAACATTCATACACTATGGGACAGGGGGCAAGTTAACTTCCCTGAGCCTCAGTCTTCCCACCTGTAAAATGGGATGGTATTGTGTTGAAGGTTAAATTAAATCTGAGCATGGGGGGACCCGGTTTTATTACCCAGGGGAACTCACCCTCTGCTTCCTTCTTTCCAGGTTCTCAGATCGATGACCATGTTCCAAAGCGAGCCTCGGCTCGGATCCTCGCTCCCCCCGGAGGCAGGTCAAGCGGCATTTGGTAAAGACACTGCCCAGCCCCCCAAGTGAAGATGCACCAACGCCACCAGCCCCACGCCCTCCGGCCGCAGCTGCAGGGGTGGGGCGGGAGAGGCCGCGCTGGACAGCTCACCACCCGAGGGGCCCCGGGACTCCGGGGCCCTCCCCATGTCTGACACGTGATTCACTGTGCTTCGAGCCAACCCTAACAGGCACTTTGAGATGTGTTCCTCCTGCTGCAGTCCTTTCCTGCCTCGGCCCCCGCGGGCTTCCCTGGGGCCCAGGAAGCCCATACTATGCACAGAGCCCACTTGCATAGAGCCTGGCCCCGCCCCTCCCTCGCACCCGCCCCCTGCTGGCCTTGGGCAACCCCGCCCTTAGTGCCCTGCCCCTGGCTGACCCGCCAGTTGTCCAGAGCACTTTAGCAGACGTGTTTTAAAAGAAAAGGACCCCCCTCCCCGATCCCCTTCGGCCCTGTGGTCGTTTTCCCCAAGTCAGACAGGTGTTCGCATCCTAACAGTGCCCCAGGACCTCCCGTTTCTCCCAATTCAACTCCTGCCCCTGTTTGGGAGTGGCTGGGACACGCTGCGCCCTTTGCTGGCTGCCTCCTCCCTGAATCCCGGCAGTCCCAGGCCCAGAAGGGCTGGCCGGGCGGGCATGAGGCTGGTGCCAGGCGCGTGTATATGATTTCGTTTTGCACGTTTGGTTTGCGCAGTGGTTTGGTTTGACTTGTTTGTGCATCCTGTGAAAACTGACGGTGCTTTGTGTCACTAGCATAGCATAGAAACAGGAATAGATGTGGACCTTAAGAGATGCTGCTTCGCCACCAACCAGACAGCCTAGGGCACCAAGGACAGGGGCCAGAGGGGGATACTGGACTCTCGGGGCCCCTCTTCTCCCTATCTGGAGTCTTCCTGTCCCCCCTCCCTCCCCTCCTGGTTTCCTGCATCCTGAGAGGGTGCCCGGAATGCTGGCCCTAGAGACCTTCAGGAATCAAGGTTGCCTTTCCCATGTGTGGTCCTGGTCACTCCCAGCACTCACCACCCCCCCACCCACGCACACACAACTGCCTGTAGGTATCCCCCTGCTGTACAGAGGCCCAGTTGCTCCTTCTGTGTGATTGGCAAGAGGCCTCATGCCTGCTAAGGGGCGTGGGGGGGGGGGGCATGGTAGGGGGAGCAGGCTGGCTATATGCCAGGTAGAAGGCCAGACCAGTAGGACCTGGCTATAGCCAACAGGGCCACACAGGGTCTGCAGGCTACTGTGGTCAGCACCTTGCCCTCACCTGCTTGTGGTCTCTATCTCCTCTCAGCTGGGCCTTCCCTGCCTCCAAAACTCCAGGAGGTTTCCATGGAAACACTAGAGGCTGCCCTTGCTAAGCCTTGTTCCCCCTTGGGGAGTGACGTCACATTGCACCTGGGCTGACACGCGGCTCCTGGACTCCTGCGCCGGTGGTCATACCCTGCACATTTCTGCAGTGCTCTTCATGTTTTCAAAGCCCTTTCATGTATGAGCTCTCAATTGCTCCTCACAACCACAAAGCATGCATTATTCTCCCCATTTCTCAGATGTGGCCCAGAAAGCTCAGGCCTTCTGACTCCAGAACGGTCCAGACTGCCCTATTTAGAACTTGGCTGTCTACCCCAGCGGTGGACAGAAGAAGTGGAGTGACATCTCTTTCAGATCCCCCCTGAGAGTTTAACCAGCTAGATGACTTACTCCCCCAGTAGGCATTCTGCTTTGTTTTGCACAGGTAGATAGATTTTTCTTGTAAACAAACTAATGCATATTCACTATTTGAGCCAGAACTAGTTACATGCTGGAGGTTTGCCGTGTGGTTTGAGCTGCCTCCACATCCTCACCCCTCCCTTCATGCTCCCCTTCCTCACTTAGGGGCTGAGAGGACCCAGACGGTCACCCAGGAAGCAGAGGCAGCAAAGGCACTCATGGAGAGTGGTAGCCATGGGAACAGTCAGCAGGGATCTGAGCCTGGGAAACCGTGACACTGATCCCTTGGTACAGTGCACATCATCTTTATCCCTTTCAGCCCTTGCTGGGTCATGGGCCTTGGGCAGATGCCAAAGAGCCAAGCAGTGGTGATAGCCAGTGGGCAGAGCATCCCTGCTTGGGCCAGGAAAGCTTTACCTTCTCTGAGTGCCTCCGCCCGAGAGATGCGTGGTCCGTGGCTCTGGGAGACCACCTGTTGGTATGGTCCGTCAAAGGCCTTCCACTTCATTCACCCCCGACACTTACATAGACCCACCCTTGCCCAGGAGCATCTAGATGAAAATCAGAAGGAGGTTCAAGGAACCGAATGAAAGGTCAGCCCTGTCACCCATTCCCTGCCCCTGTGCTGAGTTCCAGCCAGCCCCATCACCAGCCCCACCGGCTCCTGGTTGGAATGAAAAGGGTCTCTGGTTGCACTGAATGCAGCTCTCAAACTTGGTCTTGTACTTGCTGAATAAATACTGTTGTTCTTGCCTTAGCTGCTCTCTAGGTTTGTGGGGTTAAGTTACCAGAAAATTGTGCTACCGTGTGTGCGTGTGTATGTGTGCGTGTGTGTAGTGCTAGGAGTCCACAGTAGGTCTCGGTCAAGGCAATGCCGAGATGAGGGCTTTTCCAATACTGACCCAGAAACCACTCGGAAACCCAAACCCCCTCCAGCTACCCAGGCAGCGGGCACAGCCTGGGGTCGGGATGGAGCCTCGAACACCCCAGCACCCAAGTGACTTCTTCACTCCTCTGTAAACGTCATGGTGCTAAGATTGTGTCAACCCCAGGACAGCACATGGTCTTGTGCTTTGGCCACCCGATTGAGGCAAACACAAAACAGCCCGACTCATTGTGTTCTGGTGCAGGTTTGTATTAAACTATAGCTACTTCTCGCTTGGTCTCAGTTGTGTTTCTTCAAAGAAGAGGGAGTTTGGTGGGAGGACCTCTTCTTCCATAGTGGCTGGGGTGAGGCTTTAGCCACTAAAAAAATGGCAAAAAACCCTCAGCTTTTGTTCTTTACTTGTGTTGCATGGCAGATGGCAGTTCACTGGGAGGCCTGAACAGAGTTTGAAGATTAAAAAAACGCTGAAAGCTTCTCTGGTGGTCCAGTGGTTAAGACTGTGCACTTCTACTGCGAGAGCCACACGTTTGACCCCTGGTCAGAGAAGTTCCACATGCCTTGCAGTCTGGTCAAAAAAAAAAAACAAAACAAAACATGTTGAGAGATGGGAGCCTCAGTATCCCATCAGTCCTTTCTCCTGGTGGGAACAAAACAAAGTTTTTTGGTGCCAAATTTCCTAAGACAAGGTTGGGTTGAGTTATCTGAAACGGGAATAATTAGATGAAGATGTGAGATACAAAAGGAGGGCAGGAGAAGGGGTTGGACTAGACTTTCCCCACCCACCATTGGTCACTTATTTTCTTGGCTGCCATTTTGGAACACCATAGCCTACTCTTCACATTGGAACCCTTGGCTGTTGGAACCATGGACTCACAAAATCACATTCCAAAGGACTGTACGAGGCCATTGTGTCTTTGAGGAGTTCTCAGGCTGCTCTCTGGCTCCACTGAGAGCCCACTGTGCCTTCAAACCCTTCCCTCTGCATCAAGGCTAACTCGGGCAGAGCTTGGGGGTTCTCTGATCAAACACTTTCACACTAAAGAGTGAGTGAAATTATTGCAACCAGTACTATGGGGTCTTGGGTGCGTGCTAAGTCACTTCTTCAGTCATGCCTGACTCTGCGACCCTATGGACTGTAGCCCATCAGGCTCCTCTGTCCATGGGATTCTCCAGGCAAGAATACTGGAGTGGGTTGCCATGCCCTCCTCCAGGGGATCTTCCCGACCCAGGGATCAAACCCACATCTCATATCTCCTGCATTGGCAGGTGGGTTCTTTACCACTAGTGCCACCTGGGAAGCCCACTATGGGGTTGCTTGTACTTATTTCTTAGCCTCCAAAATAAAGCCTTAATGAGGGAATTTTAGGTAGAATGGGGAAATAGTTGGCTACAGGCACACTTTCACAGCTCTCTTGCAAATAAGGCAGCCCATGACCTAAAGAAACACCCAGAGCACTACAGTTAATAATGAAGTGATCTGTGCGTAAAAGTTCTACTGGGGCTTCTGAGCCAGATGGAAACAACCATTGTCTGATTTGTGAAGGATGCTGAGTTGCTGGGAGGGTACTAAGCCAAAACATCTGTTTCCCCATAACATGGGAGCACACCAGAATGTGATTAAATGCCAAAAGTCCCTTGTGTAAGTGTTTGAATGAAAAATGGCATGGCTGCACATTTGGCAGACCATGTGCATGGTATCAGGAAGTTCATACAGGAAAAAAATAAAACAAGATACCAGGAAGACACTGGTCTTCTTTGCAGTTGTGGATAAACAAAAGACCACAGATTCAGACTTTAAAATAAGGCTTGGTCCTTTATAAGAATCTGCATTTGAAACCTGAACCAGCCAGCAGTCAAGCAACAATCACCCTCAAATTCTTAACTCCAATTACAGGCTGACTTTTAGATACAGCTACAACCTAACACTCAGAACTGCCTTGCAGTTAGTGAAGGAGGAAGAGTCTCATGACACCTGACGCAAAGAAGAAACCTCACAATACACCGGGAGGGTAGACAGTGCTCTAAGTTAATAAAAGGTTATTTGATAGTTGCTAATAACACACTTGAAAGGGTTCTTAGTGCTTTTCCAGTAAAATATTAAAGGATCTAACATTTGTTGATACTTGATACATCTTACAAAGATGGAAGCTGAGTTCTTCACTTGCTTGCCTTCATATATTTAAAAACTACACATTTATACCTAGAGGGATCTGTCTAGGTTTGCCCAAACAATCCTGTTTTAAGTCTGTTGCCCCCAGAATAATTCTTAACAGTGCCCTCTTTCACTTTCAAATATGTCTTGGTTTGGACAATAAATTGTATGGTCACCTTACATATATCTATACATTAGGCTATTAAAATGCTTGTCATGAGTCACATGTTTTTCCATCACCGAAAGATGGGGGACCGGGCAAGGAAAATGGGTCCTTTTTCATGAGTGAGAACCAGAGTTTTCTATGACAAGCCCTGAGGCTCCACACAGCCTTGGAGACCTCATGAGACCTCAGTGACTGTGGATATAGCAAAGGGTGACGCCTTGGGGGCACCTTCCTAAGCTTTTCTGTTTAGCTTATAGACTTTATTATTCCATTAAAGGCTGTAAGCCTACCAAATTTTATCATTTACTCTTATGGGGGCTTTGATTCAATTCATAAACTTAAATACTTTACTAGATTTCAAACTACATTTAAAATTCTACTTCCTTTCTAAGTGACTTTCTTATTACCAATTTAATATGCTGATAAATATAGTGAGCTTAGAGGTTTATTAGATATTTCTCTGCCAAGCATAAACATAGTAAGATTTCAACATAACTGATAAGTCTTAAGTTACATATTTTAAGTTAGTTCTGGGGCGCTCACTCTAACAAGCCAAAATTTCTCTTACAAGTACATAAACTACCCAAATATGTGCAGATTCTCTTTTTTTTTTATTGAAGTATAGTTGATTTACAAAGCTGTTTTAGCTTCAGGTGCACACCACAGTGATGTATGAGTGTCTAGACATCATCAAGACATTTCTAAAGAATGGAACTTCTTCCATTCTAAAGAATGCTTCAAGAGCTAGCAAGAGAAAGGCACTAGTTGCGCACAAGGAATTGGACATTGAATGCCTGTCACCTGGTTTGTCAACAAAATGCTAGAAGATGGAAGATCCTGGAGTATGTTTTCTAACTTTTGAGGGAAAATAATTTCTAACCTAGAGTTCTGGACCCAGTCAATCTGTCAACCAAGTATCTGTGAAAAGTCATTTTCAGTTCAGTCGCTCAGTCATGTCTGACTCTTTGCAACCCCATGGACAGCAGCTCGCCAGGCCTGCCTGTCCATCACCAACTCCTGGAGTTTACTCAAACTCATGTCCATTGAGTCGGTAATGCCATCCAGCCATCTCATCCTCTGTCATCCCCTTTTCCTCCTGTCTTCAATCTTTCCCAGCATCAGGGTCTTTTCAAATGAGTCAGCTCTTTCCATCAGGTGGCCAAACTATTGGAGTTTCAGCTTCAACATCACTCCTTCCAATGAACACGCAGGACTGATCTCCTTTAAGATGGACTGGTTGGATCTCCTTGCAGTACAAGGGACTCTCAAGAGTCTTTTCCAACACTGCAGTTCAGAAGCATCAATTCTTCTGCACTCAGCTTTCTTTAACTATTTGGAACCAGTCTGTTGTTCCATATCCAGTTCTAACTGTTGCTTCCTGACCTGCATACAGATTTCTCAAGAGGCAGGTCAGGGACTTCCCTGGTGGTCCAATGGCTGAGACTCCAAGCTCCCAATACAGAGGGCCTAGGTTCATTCCCTGGTCAGGGAACTAGATCCCACATGCAGCACCTAAGACTTGGTGCACTCAAATAAATAAATTAAATTATTAAAAAAAAAAAAGAGGCAGGTCAGGTGGTCTTGCATTCCCATCTCTTTCAGAATTTTCCGCAGTTTATTGTGATCCACACAGTCAAAGGCTTTGGCATAGTCAATAAAGCAAAAATAAATGTTTTTCTGGAACTCTCTTGCTTTTTCGATGATCCAGAGGATGTTGGCAATTTGACCTCTGGTTCCTCTGCTTTTCTTTTTTTTATGTAATTTTTATTTTTATTTATTTTTATTAGTTGGAGGCTAATCACTTTACAATATTCTAGTGGGTTTTGCCATACATTGACATGAATCAGCCATGGATTTACATGTGTTCCCCATTCTGATCCCTCCTCCCACCTCCCTCCCCATCCCATCCCTCTGCCTTTTCTAAAACCAGCTTGAACATCTGGAAGTTCATGATTCATGTATTGCTCAAGCCTGGCTTGGAGAATTTTGAGCATTAATTTGCTAGCGATGTGAGATGAGTGCAATTGTGTGGTAGTTTGAGCATTCTTTGGCATTGCCTTTCTTAGGCATTTTCAGACATGCAAGATTGAAAAATTTTTACCTTCTTTGTGCCCCTTTTTTTGGAATCTATTTGGGGGTATGTCCCAACATACTAAACTTCAAAAAAAAAAAAAAAATCAGAAAGACATGGGATAAAGGGAATAGTAGATTCAGCATAAGTAAGAGGATCAGAAATGGTGTAGAGGGAAACCCCTGGAAGACAGCTGGGCAGAAGCCTGGGGAACAGTTGGACCTGAGGAAGCAGTTCTGAGTAAATCCTGACCAGGAAGCTAGAAAAGCCACTGGGGAGACTTCCCTGGTGGTGCAGTGGCTAAGGCTACCTGCTCCCAAGGCAGGAGGCCCAGGGTTTGATGACTGGCCAGGGAACCATATCTGACATGCCACAACCAAGATCCAGTGCAGCCAAATAAAATGAAATTTTTTAAAAAGAAAAGCCATTTAGTCCTTTATTTGCCCTTTTGTAATAATATGGTATAAATACTTAGCTGAAAGAGGTTCTCAAAACAACCAGAAACATTGCCTTACTCTTGATAAAAGAGAACTGAAAAAGGAAAGATGATTTGCAAAAAATGAACGGATTATGGATTCTCTGAGTTTAGGGATTCTTTACACACATCTAATTTAACCTCTGCAGAAATTTCTACCACATCCATGACAAATCATCTAGCCTAGGAACCAGGACATTTAGTCCAGGGACAGAGACCTACCTTCCCCAGGCATCCTCTCCTAGTCCCCCAGAGCTCTGTTTGTTCAGTATGATTCCTTAATTGAAACTGAATTCTGTCTCTTGGCAACTCATGCCTTTTGCCCTAGCTCTTGCCTCTGGAGGCACAGAGAACAAATAGCCACCTCATTCATGTACCAGCTCTTTCTCTATATGCCCTTCAACATG